CCACATCACATAAAATCACACACACATACAGTGGGGCAAACCACCTTTGAATGAAGCTGCTCTTTCTTCAGTTTAAGTAAAAGAGCGGAAAAAAGAATACACGCAATTTTGTGACCACAGCAGAAATATTCTGGAAAGGGTATCGGATATGTCGGTCAGACAGCAGAGGAGGGTGTCCCTTCTACCGCATGCTTGGTGTGCTTTTTGTGCATATGGTTGTAATTCTCTCATTTGTGTTGGAAGCATTGTGATGCTCAGATTCACAGCAAGAGACTGGGTACAATGATGCACACATACTCAAGAGCATTTTCTAACATGCTCTTATTTGCTAGGACACTAACAATCTGACTATATTTAGTGTCATAAACACATAAATATGAATTATATAGTATTGGTAGAGTATTTTACAAAGTGTAGTAATGAGAAGTTCATCTTGCTCCATTATTTCCAGATGATAGTGGGGTGTTGATACAGTTGGTACAATTATCCTAACTACTGGGAATCAAATTTTATGCAAAGACTAGAGCGTAATGATTTCGGGAAGCAGTTTTGGGGGGCAAGCCGTGGCAGATTAGGAAAAGCCTTTGAATTTGAAACAGACTTAAAGAACGAGTTCCTGCAGGATTATGAGCATCTTGTGTGTTTTCACAGAACTGTTGGTTGTAGGAATTTGCCAGCTCTTGTACTAATAGAGAGTGAGAGAAAGAGAGCCTTTACTAACATTGAACACCTCGTCAATCTGTCGACTGATTTGCATGCTGTAACTTTTTGTTTTTAACCAGGTGCTTCATGCCTTACCTTTTAGAGAACAAACAAAGGGAATGTTGAAAGCTCATGTGGGTGAACATAGCCTGCAGAGAGGAGAGTTGATGAATTGAAGATGCATGCTTTCTCAGTAGGAAAAATGGAGAATTAACCAAGCTAATAGCCGCAATGTCAAGGTTTTTCTAAAGAAAATAAATGGGACTAAAGATTGTTCTCATAATGCTTCAACCCATGACTATGCATCTGTATCTTTGTTGAAAACCATCAAAGGCTTGTATGATACTTGATAGAATGTTTCCTTATCTTAAATCTTAATGACCGTACATCAAAATAGTGAGGCCCTGACTTGCCTACGGCATCATATGAAGTATGCAAGCTGTTTTAAATATTTGCAAGTGCTTTATTCAAAATGCTAAGGGCTCCATAAGTAGGGTTGGGTATTGATTGGGTTTTTTACGATACCGGTGCCAAATCGATACTTTTAAAACGGTACCGGTGCCTAAACGGTGCCTGAACTGATACTTTAAAAAAAAGAGCCACAAAAAAAAAACGATGGATAACATTAAAGAACATTAAAAATATTTAAAATAAATATACATAGCATTCACGTGCTCCTTGGATGCTCTCATTTCCCGAGTTGTGCTTCCCTTACTCTAATAAGGCTAATAAATGTATTTCACGATCTGGGTCATTATTTAATACAAAACAATATTTAATACAAGACCACACATAATGTTTCTACTGTATCTCTGTCAATCACGTTGATATTTAGTTAAAATGAGTGAATTGACTGAGTGCTGTCTGTCACTGTCTTTAATCAGTTCTGTGAATGACTGTATGGTATGCCACATGCACTGTAATATGTTTTATATTAAATATTAAATTTTCAAATGAAAATAGCAACATGATCGTTTTATAAAGTATGCGTTCATATGTGTTAAGGGCTAGATTTTCGCTGGAGGAAACAGCTGTGGTGTGATGAGGGGTGAACGCAGCGAAAACTACAGTAGATGGGAAACCGATTGCTCCCTCGTGACCTTTTGTAAACTGTACTTATGACAAAGAAAGAACTGCACAGATACATATATTATAACAATCTATCAATAAACACACACCTTGTGTCCTCTGTTTCTGTTTGAGTCCGCTCGTG